AATATATACAAATAATAATAATAATAATAATAATAATGATAATAATAATAATGATGATGATGATATAAAATGTCTATAAAAATAATAAATTAAAATAATTACAGACTTGAAATTGTAATCTGAAAAATCTATTAGATAATTCTAACTCTCGTCGTATATATCAGCTTTGAGAGGAAACTATAATCGGGTCGAAGATTTTATCTGTCGCTTTCATTAAACAGATTGAAGCGAGTGAATCGAGTTTCGTTCTAACAAGGCATACGCTTTTCTCTCTAAGACGAAAAGTAACTCTTTCTCTCTCACACTTTTCCTTTTTCGGTCTCATTTTTTTTTCTAAGACAGAGAGGCACTTCAAAGGTTTTCATTTGATCCTCAACGATGCAGAGAGTCTGACATCGTCCAAAATTATACGATGAGTCGCGAAGGTTGAACATCTTGAATTTTTTAATTATATTTTATTTAAATTTTTTTATTATTTCTTACAACGCTCTTTTGTGTTCATTGTAATAAACAATTACAAAATTGGAGATAATCAAATTTAAACTAATGTTTAGCTGTGTAGTTTAATATTTGATTAAATTTCACTTAAAATCATAACAGGTAAAAATTATTGAGAAAAGTTAAATCTTATTCTCTAAATATTAAAATTACAATAAAAGAAATTTAAAAAAAGACAAATTTTTTTATTTATTTAAAATTACGGTTTGTCAACGATATGCTAAACATTAATATATCATTGTTCCATATATCTAAATTAAGAATCAAATAAAAGTAGTATATTTAGTACGATTTATAAATACCGGTTTGCTAAATTAATTGTATTCATTTTTAAATCGTACTTCTAATAATAAAATTAAGAACTTGTAATAAAAATGATGTTTTATTTTCTACAAAAGTTCTCAATCTGCTACAAAACATATATATAAGAAAAATGTTTTATTTAATTTTTGCTTGTATCTTATAATTTCTTATTATATGCGTTGATTCTTATTAAACTTATTTGCCATTTACACAGCTCTTACAAGCCTTTTTATACTCCTTGTTTTTATAAAAAAGAGCTTTTTCAATTGTTATTTATATATAAGAATGTTATATTTATAAATTCTCATCAAAAATACTTTTATATCACACAAAATATAAATAAGTATTGTCACAATATAATAACAAAATTTGATGTTTTCTTCGATTGTCTATGTAAATATAAAGAAAACTAATGCCTAAGTAAAAAATAAATTTACTAAATCGTACCAGTACGATAATAGGAAAAAGTTAGTGGTACATTTTGCAGAACTTTTATTGCTTTGTCAAAAAAATGGCAAATAAAAAATAATTTTAAAACATTTTGCCGATTTTTCAACGCTTCCACATATACAGGATTAAATAAGATAAAAAAAATGCTTTAATAAAATACATTTAATTGCTTCTCTTTGCTCAGGCACGGGGTGTCAAATATTACACGAAAATTGTACAAAATAAATTTATGAACGTCAGCCTTAACACCTTAAAACATTTTAAATCTGTTTAATGAATACAGTAGAGATACGATTTAGCACACATAATTCCTCTAATATATAAATTAAATGTCCTTAAATATATTAATTATTATTAACTATATTAAAGTATTAATATTAACAAAGGACGAAGCGTTCTAATTTCAGATAAAAAACAATCCGCATAGCTAATAAATAAATTGATAGTTTATCTAATCTCACATTTTGTCGATAAAACAGGAAATAAACAACAGACTTCTCAAGAACGTTTAGTATCCTTTTAATATTAATATGTGATACATTATTTTTATATTAATAAAATTATTATTAATTATATTAAATATACAAGATTATAATATATAATTAAAATGAGATTTTGTACTTATAAATAATTGGAAACCAGAAGAGAGGATTAAGTGTGTACCATTAGTGCAAGGATAATAGAAGCAAAAGTGTGTTACGTCATGGGAAAGGAAAAGAGCATGTGCAACCTCGTCTCTCTCTTTCTTCCCTCCTACGAATGACGGGATAAATTGTCGCGTGTTGTTGGAAAATCACGGAGGTCGATGGTTGGGGAAGAGGCGCCGAGACGTCTCGACGCCTGTTTCACTGGCGTCGTCTTCTCTCCAGACTCCGGCTCTCTTCCTCTCCGAGTCTGTCTCCCTTTCTCTTGTGCGTATTTTTTTTATATTTCTCTATTGATCTACCCTCTTCGGCCATTATATACCGCCTCTTCCGCAATTACACACGTTACACAAGTAAAATTGTAAGGACACTAAACTCGCGCAATAATCCTTAATCTAGATTAATCATTTGTCATTCGAAAGATTTATTACAATTTATGTTAATATCAAAATAATGTATGAAATATCAATATTAAAGGGATCTTAAACATTCTTCAGAAGTCTGTTGTTTATTTCCTGTTTTATCGACAAAATGTGAGGTTAGATAAACTACCAATCTATTTATTGGCTATGCGGATTGTTTTTTACCTGAAATTAGAACGCTTCGTACTTTGTTAATATTAATACTTTAATTTGTACAGGAAAAAAATGTATCAATATGTTTATAGTCTCATACATCTTGATTACAGAATTATGAATGCTTAGAATTTCATTATCTAACCTCACATTTTGTCGATAAAACAGGACGGAAATTACAAACTTCTCAAGGACGTTTAGGATCACCTTAATATTTATTAATATAAAATTGTATTAATATATAAAAAAATGTATTATAATAATTATAATGGATACCCCTACATCTTTATTAAAATTCTGAGAAAATAATTGTTTAAAGCGAGAGCCCGTATTCTTTTTCGGTGCAAAATTTATTGTAGGTATTGCCAAATTTTTTAATGCCAGGATAACGAAAACAAAAAACGTTACTTTCTTCCGGCAGTCTGACGTACGTGATGTATGAATATGGCGTAAGATTAAAATACTTTCATCGTCGACGGCACATCAAGGGCGACGTGATCCCACAGGAAACATATATCATTTTCACACACGCAAAGTTAGGAAAGAAAGACGGTTGTAAGGAAATATATGTATAAAGAAAGCAAGTTTTTGCGCGCGTTTTTTAATCGTCTCTTTGATCATTTTAGCAATATTAATTTGTCAAAATATTAATTCGTTAAATAATATTAATTGATATTTTTTCAACAATATTTTATTTAACAACATTAATATATTATAATAAAATTTTAATTGTTTCATTTGAAATATGTGAAGATTTTTACAAGAACATATAAATCATTTTTTCTCTTTCTTTCGCAATTGTTACATTACTGATACATAATGGGAAAAAATGTATTAGATAAATTAATCATAAAAATATTATTTAAAAAACTTTATTAAAAAGGAAAGATAGGAACGTCCAATATTATTTGAGAGGATGGTACAAGGTTCAATAATAAATGATAATTCATAAAACCTTATGAATCATAAGATTTCACTATTCTCTATACGATTATAAAAGATTTTAATTAGAAACTCAGAAATAAATATTTTTATCGGCTCTCAATATAAAGAATATAAGTATGCTGCCTTCTAAGCCGGGCAATAGAGCCAAGGAAACGAAACGAAAAATTAATTAAACGGAACTGTATCTCAATTTGAGATCCCAAAGTTCCACATATAAATTAATTTCGAAACTTACATATGGAGAAATAAGCGAGAAAAATATAGGTCCGAAAAGTCGCTGAAGCGGGAATCGAACCCGCGTCTTTCACTTTCCGGGCGACTGCTCTTACCAACTAAGCTATTCAGACCCTTTCGATCCCATATTTTTCATTTGCCTTTTAAGTAGATGTTAGTAAATACCGCCGTGATTAGCCCAGGCGTGAATAAACTCAGAAATAAATATTTTTATCGGTTCTCAATATAAAGAATATAAGTATGCTGCCTTCTAAGCCGGGCAATAGAGCCAAGGAAACGAAACGAAAAATTAATTAAATTATTTTATTATATTTTAATATATTTAATTAAATATTATTTCTCCATATGTAAGTTTCGAAATTAATTTATATGTGGAACTTTGGGATCTCAAATTGAGATACAGTTCCGTTTAATTAATTTTTCGTTTCGTTTCCTTGGCTCTATTGCCGGCTTAGAAGACAGCATACTTATATTCTTTATATTGAGAGCCGATAAAAATATTTATTTCTGAGTTTATTCACGCCTGGGCTAATCACGGCGGTATTTACTAACATCTACTTAAAAGGCAAATGAAAAATATGGGATCGAAAGGGTCTGAATAGCTTAGTTGGTAAGAGCAGTCGCCCGGAAAGTGAAAGACGCGGGTTCGATTCCCGCTTCAGCGACTTTTCGGACCTATATTTTTCTCGCTTATTTCTCCATATGTAAGTTTCGAAATTAATTTATATGTGGAACTTTGGGATCTCAAATTGAGATACAGTTCCGTTTAATTAATTTTTCGTTTCGTTTCCTTGGCTCTATTGCCCGGCTTAGAAGGCAGCATACTTATATTCTTTAATTAGAAAGTTTAACTCTTTACATTGGCGATGTAAAACAAAAGTTTTATTACCTTGTAAAGCTTTCAAGAAGATAGACAAGTTAATCGCACAGGAAACTTAAATATCAATGAATTCTTATAACATATTATAATTCCAAGAGAAATTACACTTATACAAGTATTACAACTATTGAAAAGATTCTTTAAACCGTATGTTGGAAGCAATCGCGATATCGAGTCTGAATATAGCATACCAACGAGAAGAAAAAATCCGATAGTTCGCCGTAGAAAGAAATGAATGGAATAAAAATATTACGCAGAAAGATCATTCTTGTTCCACGAAACTTGCTTTCAGAGAACAATCGTCGAGAAAAATAGACGGTTCGAGAGCTAAGAATCGCGACTTTTCAGAGAAATATATGGTAATATTACCGAATTTCTTCTTCAGAAAATTGATTCGACTTTTCATCATTTTCCGCCGTCTTCTATCTCGCAAAATATATATATATACGATGTAATAATTTTTCGTTACAGATTGTGACTTCGATAGCGGTGCGATAACTACAAAGTACCAAGATGGCTGCATTCGTGGCGAAGCAGATGGTCGGGAACAAGCTCAATGCGGTTAAAGGTAAATAATATTTTTAAACTTTATCTCTTCTTTTTTCCCTCGTATCATCCTTTTTATAATACGAGAACGTATAATATATATGGGAACTCATTTCTTGTGGAAATTCGATAAATTACATCAGTTCCAATAATTTTTCCATTCCAATAATTAATACAAGAGAAAACTATAGAATCTTGAATGTTTGTCTAAGAATCGATAATCTGATAACCCAAATATATTTCGCGCATACCAAACGTTATCGCAATCACGAACGCCAATTTCACAATAAAATTCAATCGTAAAAATAAAACGAACCCTCTAAAGATTCCACGGAATTTCTTTTCTATCTGAGCCAGTTTCACCGAAACGTGACCCGTCGAAAATTTGTTCGCCACCATTTCGAATAGACTTTAAACGGAAAGTTATATCGCTCGATATAAAGCATCCATTGTTCCTTCTTTGCTCTTAAAAAAATAAAAAAAATAAGAATTTGGACTATGAAACATTGTTTTGTTTTATAAAAGCATACTGTTAAATATTGTTGTTTTTCTATAGAATTATTTTTTATTTTTTATTTTATTGTTAACATTTTACAATTCTATACAGAGTGTCCCATTTTAAATAACGCATTACTATTTTTTAAAATCTAAAGCTTTTATCGAAAAATGTTTCATATAAAAATTGTAGGATTTCAAGGGAAATATCTTGTCATAAACGTATAGTCTTATTTCAAGTATATTTAAGATTTGGATCGTTATTACTTTTTTAAACAAAGCTAGAATTTTCTCACATAAATTGATTCGTAATATTTAGCATAAAAATTTTGCGTAATATAAAATTTATTATTTTATATAAAATTATTAAAGAGTATTTAATTTAAAAAATATAATATTTTATTTAATATAAAAACATTTAATATATTTGATATAAAAACCTATTAGAATAAACACACAATTGAAAACAAATGGTTTACAAGATATTTTATGCTTTTGATCTCGTAATATATTCATTTTTCAATCATCTTATCTTATTAATTCTCTGCATAAAATAACGAGATAAATCGATTGATGTAAAAAAACATACTTTTGTGATTAAGCAAAAAAGTATTAAGGTAAGATTATCGAAAAATGAATATATTATGAGATATTTCACATTTCACGTCAAAATGTGTCGGAATATAGCATAAAATATCTCGTAAACCATTCATTTTTCAACTATTTTATTCTAAACATTTTTTACGGCAAATATAATACCAGAAATTCATATATGTAAGAAAATTATGGTTTTGTTTAAAAAAATAATAATTTCAAAATCTGTCTTTTCTTTAATAATTTCAAATGTCTTTTTCTTTCAAAACCCTGAAACATTTTTTGATAGAAACCTGAACACCCTACATATTGATTTTTACAGTACTATACATATATGTAATATATAAATTTGTGCAAAGTGCAGAAATAAATTACTGCACCTAAAAAAAAAAACGACATTATTAAAACAAACGTAACGAGCTGACTGACGCAAAATCTTGGGGATTATAAAAATACAGACGCGTTTACATCGTACCTCGGCACGTTGGGTTATCAGCACGTTTTACCTACGAAATTATCGTAAAACCGGACGGATCAGCACACGCGATCGCCACGGTCCCTGCAGTTATGATGGCGGAGGATGTGGAGTAAAATTGCGCTATTCTCGCTTATAAACCCCTGCGACCGGGAGTTCCGCTCGTGTTTATCGTAGCGCGCCGCACGCGGAACCATTACTGTTTCGGAAATTCTCCATACGCGTAATTTCCCCGCTGCGAGGCGCCCGCGGCGCTTTGCCAACGATTACGTCATTTAACGCAACCCTTTTGGAAATGTGCAGACTGTTGGCACCGGAGATGGAAAAGATGCGCCCCGACAAAATTTTATTCTCCTGAAATAAGAGAGGAAAATTTCTCTCGACAGATATTCCTTTTTTTAAATATTCCCTAAATTTAAAAATATATTCCTTGTTAATAACAAACAGTCGTATGTTTTTTTAACATAATACATATTTTTAGTTTATTAGAAGAATAGATGAATCTAATAAATAAATAAAGTATAACATAATTTAATTTCATCTATATTTTTAAATTAGGAATCTCATACTAATCTTTAAAGAATTTTTCCTTTTAAACATCCTCTTTTTAGCATTTATTTTAAAACGAAATAATATTACAAGCATATCTTCAATTTTTTATCTTATAAAAAAGTGATCATATCTTCAATTTTTTATCTTATAAAAAGTGATGTAATATCGGAAAATAATATCGGAACTTTTGATTTAAATTTAATATGGAGCACGTTATAATTAACAAGATGGAATCTCTTTTCAGCGGTGCGAATTTATGTATTTATTAGAACCTTATTACCAAAATGATGTGCGCAAAATAATGTGTATTTATAATAATGATAACATACAAATATAAATATAATATGCAAATATGGAATACACAAATAAAGTACAAGTACAACTTTAAAATTACAAATATAAAATTATAAATATAAACTTATTTAATTTTACCTTTTTGCCAAGAAGTAAACTTAGTTTACAAAATTTGCTTAACTACTTATATAGTACTTTCTATATACTCACATACAAATCTCTCGTACTAGTTTATAATCTTGCTTTCTTTTCCTTATTCATAATTATTCTTTCTCTCTTCTTTCAAAGTTTTCTCAATATTCTTTCTTTTATGTTATCTATTTCATCACTCCATATTCTATCCTCTGTTTTATTACAATTCTCATCTAAATCTTTAAACCACTCACTTCACAGTCTTTTACAAAATGCCTTATACAAATGTCTTAAATATAAATATACGTAAACACGCGATGTTTTATGAAATGTTAAAAAAACATAGATGTACACTGTTATCTAAATAAAATCACATAGATAATCATCTAGATGAAATTTTGACGTCATCTTACCTTTATATAGATAATAAAAATATGTATTATTTATATCTGCATCTTATTGTTAGATAAAAGTGTTATCTCTATTAAATTATCTAAAATAATGTTCAGATAATTTAAAATTAAATTTAAATTTAAGTTTAGCGGTAAAAACTTACAAATAAAAATATAAAAATATTTCTATATCCCTTTTATAATTTACATTTTTTAAAATAATTGTGTTTACACAAGCGGTCTTAAAAATAATATTATCTGGAAGTTATTTAGATGAATCGCTATTTTTCATCTAGATGTACATATTTAAAATCATCTTCAGCTTATCTAAGATAACTTTACATATTTTTATCTCATCTTTATCTAGTTAAGTTTAAAATCATCTAAGCATAACTTTGATGTAGCAAGAGGGTGAAAATCAGCGTGTTTCCAAAATTTGACCGTGACCAGGAATCGTGGTCCGAAAGTTGGGCGAAAATGACAGAGATATGTACTTGCGACGATGAATCCTATCGCCCACTTTAGTATGTCGGCGGCTTGAATGATGGCCGGCAATAAAACTTCTGTCATTAAGCGAAAGTTCAGCTTTCGTGTGCGGCGAAGCGGGGAAGCGTGTCGTGAGGAATCCATAATAAGGAAAGGTGGAAATGGGGTTTCTCTTCCTCCCTTCTCAAACCATGAACTCTCGACTTTTACTTCTAGTCTTTTTTCCACGAGAGATCATTAATGTTTTTTTTACAAACTATTTAATATATTAAAAAAGGATTTTTTAAATATATAAAAAAGTATTTTTTAAATATATTAAAAAAGTATTTTTTAAATATATTACAAAAGTATTTTTTAAATATATTAAAAAGGAATTTCTTTAATATTAAAAAAGTATTTTTTAAATATATTAAAAAAGTATTTTTAAATTATATTACAAAAGTATTTTTTAAATATATTACAAAAGTATTTTTAAATATATTAAAACGGTATTTTTGATATTACAAAAGTATTTTTTAAATATATATTACAATAGTATTTTTAAAATATTACAAGAGTATTTTTTGTATATTAAGTATATTGTTAAAAAAGTATTTTTTTTCAAAAACATTTAACGTGAAAAAATTTGACACTCGAATCTCAAATATATTGTATATATCCTATATATATAAAATAGGAGACGAGGATGGGGGATCCTAAACACAAAGGATAGGGATCAAGATAAACGCAAACGAGCACGACAGGGATTAAAAGAGGTAAAGGGAAAATGAGGATGGATTGCGGAGGAGGAAGAGGATGGATCGGCAACCGAGACCTCAATTGCGAGTTCAATGAGAGCCCACGACGGTTTTGCAAACCGAGCCGCATTTAGAAGTTTGAGTCACACGCCCTCTTCCTCTCCCGGACCTTCGGCAGCTTTTTCGTTGCCTTTGCGGAGGTTAATTGAAATCCCGCTAATCGATCGACCGCGACCTATGATACCGAAACCTAACTAGTGCGAGTCGATAAAGCGCCGAGGAACGAAAGGGAAATAGATATGGACGGTGAATTGTAAGATTTCTCACGGACTTATTAAAATTCATAAGAGAACTTTTTTTATATACAGGATGTTCTATTTTAATCGAACACCTCCGAAAACTTTTTATTTTTGATTGTACAAAATGTTTCAGACAAATGATTTGAAGGGGGACAAAAGATGGTGCTAATGACTTTTTCCGAAGGGCGCTTTTCAAAGTTATTTGAAGGTCATTTATGTTTTTTAAATGGAGTTATAATTTTTTTATATAAATCGATTCCTCGCAATTTTCGGCATAAAAAGTTATCAGGGTAAGATGGCTAAAAAATGAATAGTTTACAAGATATTTGATACTTAAATTATATACATTATGAAATATCTTGTAAAATATTCATTTTTCAACAATCTTACTTTAATACTTTTATCCATAAAATAATGAAAGGAATCAATTAGCGAAGAAAATGCATAGTTATTTTTAAGAAAATATTATATATATCTGAATTATACTATATCTGAATTAATGAGTATTTATTAAAAATTTCACTATTTAGTCAATAAATTGAACTTTAATAACTTTTTTAAATATA